TGAAAACGTTTATACTTTTATTCATTTGCTAATATGTATTTTTTATATTTTTTTATTTTAATAAATAATTTTATATTGAAAAAAATTTATTTGATTCAAATAATCGGTTACTTTATTATTAAATAAATATTTATTTGTATCAAATAATTTTTATTTTAATCACATAATTTTATTAGAATTAAATAATTTTTATTATTGAATTAAATAAACTGTATTTATACCAATAATTTCTGTATTTGAAATAAATAAAATTTAATTAACTCAAATAAAAATTATTTCGTTCAAGGAAATATTTATTTGAATCAAATAAATTTCTTTCAGTGTAACTATTGTCTTTTCAATATCATACTTTAAATAGTTGAATAAAAGATTTTATTGTTTAAATACTATAAAACATTAAAGTTTGAATTTTTAAACATTTAATTGAAACAATCAAATTTTGTTGTTAAAAAAAATATGTTTGCACAAATAAGCAAATTAGTACAATATGTACTTTTAGTTGTTTTGCTATATATACAGTTTGCAAACAAAATGGAAAATCTTTCTATAAAGTTAAAAAAAGTGACAATTTATTTCCTGATGAAAAAAATCTGTCGAGTTCCGTTACATTATTATCTTATACAGACAAAAAAAAAAAAAGAAAAACTTTGGGTTGGTACAGGATGTGAATAAAATAGATTTAATTCTTCTATAGGATTCTACTTTCTCTGATAAAATTTTCAATACATTTAGAACAGAAATTTAAAAATAATTCAAATTATTTACAATAAATAAAAATAGATCCTAAAAATTCTAGTTGGATTTTCCGTAAAAATTCCATGGAAATTAATTCATTGACACATTAATTAATTTATGAATGAGAAAATAAATTAATGAGTGAATTCATAAATTAAAAAGATTAGCCACTGAAGTATATTTTAATATAATTATGTTAAAATTGTTTTTAATTAACTTTGTTTTTTAATTGAAATTTTCAAAAAAAAAAAATTTTTTTTTTCAATTACATTTAAATCATAAAAATAAAATATAGAAATGTAAACAAAAAGTAAGGTTACTGACAGGAAATATTAGGAAATGAGAGTTTTTATCACACTTTCCTATACACACTCTTTCGCGTATTTAATTACTTTGTTTATGTAATGTTAACGTGAGAAGAATTCTGACTCTGCTATGAATCTCACAATGCAGCTATAAATTTATATATCCTCATTATAAATATTCCATCTTGTACCCTTTCAATGGATATATATATATATATAATAATGATAATGTAAAACTATATAACATTCGATTTTGAATAGTCAAATTTTTCAATCTTTAAGTTATAAATTCAATGCGCTCTGTCTGTAAATGTAAATTAATGAAACAAAAAAAAAATTAATTTTCCATTTTATGTTTGCAAAGAGTAAAACAGAGAAAGTTCACCTACATTTTTGATTGTATATATAGAAATGAATAATTAGAGAATATGATAATTATAATAAAAACAAATAATTGGATTTTTATATTTAAAATTTTAGTTATTTCTTTTTTCCTTTGGGAGAATTTTAAGTAATTCAAGTGAATCGAAAAAAAATCCCAAACTTTTTTTTGAATAAAAAAAAGAAAACAGATTATCAAAAATAAAAAACTAGTACTTTTTTTTAATTAATTAATTAATTGCAAAGAATTTCTATTCAACTAATCGAAAGTTGATTGAAAAAAAACAATATTTTGTTGGACTGCAATAAGAAAAAATCTTAAAAACGAAATTAAGATAAAAATAACGAAAAAAATTGGAAAAAAAATAATTTAATAATATTCTCATCTCAATAATCAGAAGAAATGTCAAAATATAAGAAAAAATAGTTCAATACGTTTCTTAATTAAAATGTCAAAAGGCATATAGATATATATATATAGAAAAAGTGTTCACTAATATGCATATGCAATAGAAGCTAAGAGAATCAACTTAGCACTCATAACAGTGACCCACTGACTCCCCTTCAAGACTACATGTATGTTAATTTAGAAGATACTCTCTACATACATGCTTTTATTATGGCGTAATTCTTATGCGTCATGCCCGACAACATTTAAGGGCGTCACATTGTCTGTGCCTAATTTCACCGGAAATGTGAGCAACGTTTACACGACTTGTAAATAAACGATGATTTTCATTTGGCATTGAATTTTGCATTATATTTTATAAATTTAATTTATTTAAATTCTGTAAAACCATTTAGAGTTCTTAAAAATATAATCGTTAAAAAAAAAAAAAAATTTTTTATAAATGCTATTTATAAAAATAATTTGAAAAATTAAGAAAATTTATTTCAAGTTCAAAATTATATTCTTCAGAGAGAATTTACCACAATAGCATATAATCTCGTGACCTTTTCAATTATTTCATACAAAAACCAGGTCAATGATGGGCATTTTCATTATTCTGGTTAAAAAAGAAAAAAAAAAACGTGAAATTCACTTTTGAGTCAATGAGGAAGCTTCATATTTACGCTCAAGTATATAATGTTATGTGAATTTTAAATTAACGTACTGCATTTTTTACGACATTCTACCACCTTCATTTGTCTCATTCTTCAGGATAAAAATAGCAATGTTATGCCATGAATAAGAATATTTTTTATAGTTCGCAATAATTTTTATTAAAATTTTTCTAAAATTCGTTAAAAATTTTTTTAGTAAAATTTAAAAACAATTTTCATAATCATATGAAACTGACAAAAATATAATAGATATATTTTAAACATAAATGTTTATTTGAAGAATAGATTTTCAAGACTAGCTTCTACGTCTTTAGATGTCAATAGATCATGAGAAGACTTGTCGAAACTATATATATATGGCTGATGATCAAATCTTTCCATCATTTCGTTTAACTCTATACAAAAATATCTACGATCTATGAAGTCATTGAAGAAATATTATTGTTATACCAAAAATAGACTCTCGATAATATATTACATAATTATGTTTTGATTATGGAAAATCGCGGTATAATTATATTACAAAAATTTTAATTTGAAATAAATAAATTTTCTTAAAAAAAATGTTATAATATTTTAAATTTAAAAAAAGAAAAAATAAAATTGAGAAATAATTTAAAAAGCCCTGACTTTGAAAATATATTCTTTGCTCTCTAAAAAATTTTCTAATATACTAATCTACATAGTCTTTATGGATAATAATAACATTATTAGCAAGACAGTAGTTTTCCACCTTGACACTAAATTGATTTAGTCATTTTTAGCATTGTAAATATACTTCTTAATCAAATTTAAATACTTCAAGCATGTAAAAATAGTAAACGTGTATGATGACACGTTTACAAGGTCACTATTTGCAAAAGAATATCTATTATAAAAATATAAATACTTATGTTTCTGTCATCTTAAAGCCTGATGAACACGCACAAGAAATATATTTCCACGAAAATTCAAAATTATCCGAAAATAAAATAAAATTCTATAATATAATGAAATTTTCCTACGAGACAATAAATCCGTTTGTAAATATTTTTTAACCAAAAAAAAAACGAAACGTGACTTATATTAATTTCAATTTTTTACAAAGAAATTGAAAACCGAAATTATTTATATTTAAACAAATGTAGTTGAATCAAATAATTACTTGTTTAAATATTATTGGATAATAGCGTGTAATAACGAAATTTATTTTTTGGTAAAAAACAAAAAAAAGGAAATACAACAACAAAAGATTATCTTATAGTCAGCATAGAAATTAAAATCAAAGAAGTGTTTCATTCAAAGAAATGCTTCAATATCATGATAATGTATGATGTGATGAGCTTAGCTCTTGAGAATTCAAATAAATAGCAGATCATTGCCCTTTGATAGACAAATAACAATTACAAAAAAAAAAATTGAAAAAAATTTATACGAAATATTTAAAGATGCGATACGTGTCAATTATTATACTACATGTAAGCAATTTTATATTAATTCACAAATATATATTATATTATAATACAATTATATATTATAATATAATATTACCATGTGAAAAAATAAAATAATTAATTTTTTATATAAAATACTCCAATTTTTAAGTTCAATTATTCTTGGCATGGGACAAAAATAATATTAAAAAAAAAAATAAATATACGTTTTTGTTAACACTCACTGAAAAAGAAATTCCAAAATTCGGATTGTTACACTTCTCAACTACAATTGATTCATTCACCTTTGGTATACCTGTGAAAATAATAATTGACAATAAATGATATGATGAGAAATAAAAGAACATGCATATATGCGCGACATTACGACGCGACCAAAAAAATTCAATAAATTGCAACAAATTTCAAGTAATCCTCAACTAGAAATATGTTTTATACCTTTTTCCACCTGAAATATTAAATATTACACAGAAATAATGCACTGGTGTTACAAGAATAAAAGAAAAACTGCAAATATTCATATGCGTGAATGTACATATACTGTACATTTTGGGGTTATGAACGATAACGCATCTTCGATCACGGAACAAAATTTAATTTTTTCCCACTTAGCATGCAAATAGTAAATAAAAATAAGATATTTCTACTCAAAAAGCAAAAAATATACGAAAATATGAAAACTTTTTGAAATTTATACAAATTAATATAAGAAACAACAATTGGTACGAACCATCGGAAAATTATCAGGCGTGGAATCGTCCATATTTTAGAAGCAAAACATGATCTCAATATGTTAACATTAAACACTATATCTCACGTCACTACATAATCATTTACTACACTCAAATTATTTTAAAAAATGATTAAAAACTAGGATTGCAAAAAAACTCTTTCATCTAACAGTTTTTCAAAATTTTTGTGCGTTCTTAAATGAGCAAAAACTTTTCGCAACAGGAAATTAAAAATTCTCAGTTGGCAACAGTGTCATCCATGTCCAATACAAAAGTATCTCATTGGTTCGTTTCTAAATGACCAACCAATCAGATATTATTATTGAAGTGTTTAAAAATCTAATATGGAATAATAAATTTTCTTCTATAGTGAATGGAAATAATAATTTAGGTTTGATTATATTTTCATCATATTTGATCACTTTACATTGTTTTCTTTTTGAAAAAAAAGAAGAAATTTATTGTATTACTGTGTGTTTTTATAAGAAAAATAAAATCATGATACGAGGAGCAGTGAGAGCTGCTAGAAGTGCAGTAAACGTGAGAAATTTAGCAAATGCACCAGCTCAAGAAACAGTAATATCAGCAACGTTTAAAATTCAGGATAATAAAGATTTTGATGAACGAGTAAAAAATTCTAAAGTTCCAGTTATTGTTGACTTTTTTGCAACGTAAGATAACAATTTTCTTTAGTAAAAATATAGTTTTTAAAATATGCTTACATAACCTCACTTTTTAAATTATTTTTTTCATGCGTATATTATTTTTATGTTTTTAAAACAATTAAATTTATTTGCATTATTTATAGATAAAATTCTTCATTCATAAGTTAAATTTATAGTTAATTTAAAAAAAAAACAATATAGTTTTTGCTCCTTTTTGTATTATTTCTCATTAATAATTAGCTCTAATGTAATATTACGAAATACTTGATATAATTTCAAAACTAACTTGTTTATTTTGTAGATGGTGCAATCCTTGTCGAATGTTAACTCCTCGTATTGAGTCGGTGATAGCAGAAAAGCAGGGAAAAATTCTTTTGGCTAAAGTTGACATTGACGAAAATTCAGATCTTGCTCTTGATTATGAGGTGAAAATAATTTTTTTTTTTTCAATTATATTTTTTATTATAAAAATAAATAAATTGGTTAATAAATTATTATTATTTATTAAATTCATTAATTTTATTTTCAGGTTGGTTCAGTGCCCGTATTAATTGCTATGAAAGACGGCAAAGTATTGGAACGAATTGTTGGACTACAAGACACAGACAAATTACGTCAATTTGTCGATAAATATGCAAAATAAATGTAGATCTTAAATGTAAAAAAAATATGTTTGATTATTTTAGAATAAATAGATTTACTTATACATCTCAATTGATGTCCTAAAAGTGTATAATTGAAAAGGACTAAAAATACAAATTGTGGATGGTTATTTGTAATAAAATGTAATGTAGCTTAAGCTACTTTATAAGTCAGGGATTAATAATGTAAAAATGGTGTAAAGTAAAAATATTTGAAATAAAATTTTAGACTTTACACATTTTATAATTTTTATTTTTAACAAATATATATATAATTAAAGTATAAAATCAATACTTTGTACAATTGTGATAAAAAATTATTTAATTTGAAAATTAATTAAATTTGGATTGAATATTACAAATTTTCATGTTTTCTTTAAATTATTCATTATAATCTCAAATTATTATTATTATTTGAATCATCTTAATTTCACGATATATTTTAATTAACTTCAAAATTAAATAATTTTATACTGATAACTTACATAATTTAAAAAAAGTGATTTTTTTTAAAATCCTAAGCTAATGAATAGATTTAAGCATCTGTTGGTAAATTTTGTAACAATTGTCTGGCTCTTTGATATTCTATTGATTCGATAGCGTCTTCTGATTCCTCATACTTTTCTTCTACATCTTTAATAACAGCCATTGCTTTCTTTAGCAATAAATCTTTTGCTTTTCCTTTGCATCCTTCAAAATATTCTATTACAGTGGGATAAAATTTGTCAGGTATCAGCTTATCATCGAGAAAATGATTAACCAGCCATGCTTGTTTTATTGTTTCAAATTTCCACTCGCTTCTTGCATGTTTCCACTAAAATTAAAAAACAAATTTGAAAAAATATTAATTATGTACTTACTAAATAAACATTTGGAAAGACTTTATATAAAATTTAAAAAAGAACTAAAATTATTTGTTTTAAAATATTATTTTTGATTTAAAATTTTAATTATAAAAATTGATTATTTAATAATTACCTTGGAAAGGTAATTTAAAACATTAGCTGCAGTTTTATGTTTGGTTGCATCATGTTTTTCTTTTTCCCTTAATTCCTGCTTTTCTTTTTTCAATTGTCGTTTAGAGGGCCCTTTCTTTTTTTTAACATCAACATCGTCTTCACCATTTATTTCGTCTTTTGATTCATCTGTTATTTTCTCTTCCTCGGCTATTAATTTCTTTTTCTTTGGCTTTTTAACTTTACTTTCGGTTTGAATTTCCTCGTCTTCATTTACTTCTAATTTTTCTTTTTTATCCTTTTTCTTCTTTTTCTTTGCTTTTTTCTCATTATTACCATTTTCCAACTGTTCATCTTGTACACTTTCTAATAATTTTTCATTTATCTCTGATTTTTCCTTTTTTGTGTTATTTTTCTCTTTATTTGATTTTTTAACTTCTTGCTCAATTTCTTTTTCTTGTACATTTTGTATAGATTCATCTTTTATTTCTGAATTTTCACTTTCAATGTTTGATTTCTTCTTCTTTTTTGACTTCTTTTTCTCTATACATTCAGAATCAGGTGCAGTTTCGTTAGAATTAATTAAAACTTGTTCATTAGTTGATTCAGTGTTTTCATTCTCTGGATCAATAGTTCTTTTCTTTGATTTCTTGTGTTTTTTCTCATTTACATTAGAAATATTATCAATTTCTATATTCTCATGTGATATTTCGTTATTTAAATTGTCACTCGACTTCCTAAAAAAAAATAATTAGTTGAAATATAAAGATATTAAAGTGAATAATTTTATTTATTTACAAATTGTGAAAATTTTATTATTTTTAAACTATTATTAAAAAACTGTTTATCTTTTAATTTCTATTTTAAAACTATATTGTTAAATTGAATTATTTATACAATAACAAAAAAACAGTTAATAATTATGAAATATTAAAAAAAAACACGTGGTTTTGTTGAGGTAACAATACACCGTATGTCATACCTTTTGTTTTTCATCTTTTTTGGAGAATTCTCGTCAATTACAGCATCAGGACTTATTGATCGTTTTATCGACTTTTGTTTCATTATAGAATTTACAATATTTATAATGTTATTAACAATTTAGTTTATGTTTGAAATTTTTTTGTTTACTTCTAACCTCACTTTTTACACAAACAACATCAGAGGTTGACTTTTTCAGTGATCAATGTTTTTCGAAATGATAGTAAATTTAAGAACAATCGTCAATCCTCGGTGATTTTCGGTTATATTCGACCATTCTCCATTATTGTGGTCATTCATTTTTATGAAGTAAAATTTAGTTTAAACTCCTAAAAAATAAATGAAATTTATAAGATAAAATAATTTTTATTATTGTACTTCTCTACAACATTGAATCTAAATTATCGTGCTTTTAATAAACAAAACAAATTTTATGATTAATAATTTGATTACCAAAATAAAGTGATATAATAGAATTCTATAGGAAAGGTATATATTTTTTATATTTTCTTATATCAATGTTTATAAAATTATGTTGCATAATTTACAAAATAATGTCATAATTTCAGGAAAACGTTTAAGGACTTTATATGAATGAAAAATTTATTTTCAATTAGAAATTTTTAACTGATTGACAATGATTTTGCTGAGGTTAGGTTCTCTGTGTGCAAGAAAGTCTAATTTATCACAAAGGTAATTAAATAATTATATTTTACTTGTGAAATAAATAAATAATGATAAATTTATTACATTGAATTATAATTCAAAATATAAATTAATTAATAAAGTTTTCATGTTATTGATTATTAATGTTTACCATATTATTTATTAATTTTTCAGATTTCTCTCTCGGACAGGTGTATTGAATTTTTCTTCGAAAAATAACCAAGATCAAAAACCTATAAAATTGGTCGAAGAGGATGTTGATCATCCAGTTACATATTCAAAAACAAAAGCCTATACATATTTAGCTAGAAATTCTCGTTATATTGAACACAATTGGCCTGATTGTCAACCATACGTAATTGTTTTTAGTCTTACGATTTTTATGATTTATTTCTGTATATTAAGAGAGGAAAACGACCTTGATGAAATGATTTACATGCCTCTTGAAACTAGATTGCAAGAAATTGAAAAAGCAACAGGAAGACGAACATAGTATGTATAGTAGAATTTTTACTTAGAAATTCACTGTGGATTTTTTTTTTCATTGAAGCTATAACACATGTTTCTGAAAAAATTTTCCAAATTTATTGTATATAATCTGTAATTATATTTCTCTTACACATAAAAAAATTTGCCTCTATTTTATTTTCCTAATACAAGAATTTTTTTTACATTTTAATTTTTAATATATTTATAAATGCATACTTATAAATTTAATTATAATATAATTATATTTTATAATTTTTTAAAAAAATATAATTTTTTTATTGAATTCAAATATTCGCGGGCAATATTGAATAGGAAGTGCTGGCATCTTTTTTGCTCGTTTTATAGTATGCGCAAGCGCCATTGAATTTGAAAGGTAGAAAAACTAGACTACTGCGCAGTTAGAACAATTAATGAGTATTTCTTTTCATCGAGTATTATTGTGTTTTTATTAATTTTTAAATACAAAAATAATAACAAATTTATATAATGTTAATCGAGAAAATGGGAGTTTATAAATTGGATCAATTTTTTTTATTGCATTTTTGTCATTCTTTCGGCGACGACAGCGCCAACTGTACGTAACCTCTGAAACTACGTGCGCAATGGAGGCTCATTTTCAATAAAATTTTCCTGCATGTACGTAATGTGTTTTTGAGAGTTAAAAGTGGAGCATTTTGTGTGATAGTGAGACTTTTATTCTCTGTGAAAGCCAGTGAACATATTGCCCTAGGTGAGTTAATCAGAATACATAAAATTTATGTTTTAAATGATATTTACTTTTGCCTCGGTATGAGGCTAAAAAAATATAAATATAACCTGTCTCCGTATTCGGTCAACTCCTTTGCTCGTAAGCATTTTACGACTCATTTTTCGTTCGTTTTAATACTATGAGAAAAAAAAAAAGATTTCTTCTTACATAACACAATTGTTATATTTTAATTACTTTTCATAAATATTCAAACAAATTTAGTTGTATTTTGCCTCAAGCATAATTGAACGTTATAATTATAAATTCCTGTTAAAATTACGATATGCGTGCAGTCGCATATTGATAGTCATGAATATATATCTATATAGTTTATTTACGTCCGGTTTTTTTAAGACAAGATTCATGATAGATTAAAGTAAGATGCTTGGCATTAATAATTGTAGAATATTTTTTTGAAATTTTAATGCGAAATATGTTTTCTGTAAGAAAATGTCTTGTACGTGGCAGTTCGCTTTCGTTCGGGTCCTTTCGGATTTATCGCGTTTTTCATCGAAGCAACAAGCGACCTGTGAAATCGGCACATCTTGCGGTAAATTACCGATTGGCGAGGCGATGACCATTGTATTTTGAAATTCAACACTGTCTTTCATAGTCTTTATAGAAGCTATTATCATTTTATCATTGTATGTTCATTTTTCTCGGAGCAGATTTTCTTAACCTCAACAATACACACATATATATATATATATATATATATATATATATATATATATATATATATAGGTATGACTCGAAACTTTCTCTCTGAAATACACTGTGCAAATCATTATAGGTAAATTGAATTAATCAATAATTAGCTCACAAATTCCACTGGCGTTGATAGATAATATTTTTTTTCAAATTAATTTTGAAAGGATTTTATAATATTTTCTTAATATTCTCAACAGAAATTTGGAGCAATTGAAAATGTTTGTTATTTGAGATAATTAAACTATGCGTTTTTTTTTATTTTGTATTTACGAATTGAATTAAATTCAAAATTTTTTTAAATGCATTTTTAAAAACGAAATATTGGATCGTTTTGAAAGTTTTTTTTTTGCGACGTGAGGAAATTTTTTTTTTTTTTTTTGTTGGAAGGCCGTTTATGGAGTGGACAATAACATATACACACCATCTACCGATAGATTCTCTTCCGGTTTCCTCAGCGTGCCAACTAGGTCAGCCGCCCAGGAGAACTAGTTAATAGGAATTAAAATCAAATGACAAGTTTTTGTCTATATAGTGTCCGGATGCATTTTACACATAAATCATTTGTATATATCTAAATGAATTGATTTAATAATTTATTTGCATAAATGTCGTTGGAAATATGTTAAAGAGAGTGAGATATAAGTGGGAGTGTCTTTGGAATGTGGTCTTAACTTCTTGCACGTATTTATTTCCCATTTGCCTCCTCGTCTGGTAGAATTTCCTCTCGCTGAGATTCCTCACCTTCCAAGTAAATTATTTTCCATGATACTTTGATCTATAGTGAGTTTATTATATATATATATATATATATGTATACGTTCACGTCAGTTTGTTTCTGACTTTTACGTTATATTTCATAAAAAATCACTGTGTGTTCTACCATTTTTTTTTTATTTTAATCTGAAACAAGATTTTCCCAAGGCTTTAAAATGTCAAAAATTACTTTGAAAAATAGACTAAAAAAATTAACTATACAAAATTTTAGTTATTTTTGGTATGATAATAAAAAATAGTTAAAGGTAGACAATAAAGTGGTTTATTTATAATTTATAAAAAAAAATTGGTTTATTTGTATTGAAGTGGTTTGATTGAAGGTAGCAACAAAAGTCGGGAAATATTTTTTTTTTTAAACTTGCAATTCAAATGAACTAAATGTCAACCGGGAGTAAAAAAAAACCACCCAACTTTGATATTAGAATTGTAGATTGCGTTTACATTACACAATGTGTTAAAACTTTGATATAAATTTAAATTTTAAACGTCAGTTATGATATATCATTACCGCAGTCCAAAATTTGAGTTAATTTTTAATTTCCTTTTAATAAATGATAAATGGGATTAATTTTTTTTATCTTTTAATTCTTCTAGTATCGTTTTAAATATTTTTTTTTAATGATTTATTTATAATATAAAAATAAATTTAATTATATATATATAGTTTGAAATAATTTTTTCACAATTTTTATAATTTAGACGATTTCAACTTTTCATCTTCTCTTGACAATTATTTAAAATGCAGAGACTGTCATCGGCGTTAATAATATATTCTTTACTTGAAAAAAATAAATTTAATTTCATAGAAAGAACATAGAAACTTTCTAGATGGTGTAATTATATGAAAATAGCCTATAATTATGTCCACGTGTGATATTGATTTAGCATTTAAAATCCTTGATATTCATCACCATGAAACGCAGAATGAGTAAAAGGGTTGAAAGGGTTACATCACTTTATAAATGGAATATTCTTATGCAATTTTAATTATAAAAAACGGATGGAAGGAAAAAGTATTTTTTTGTATTTATTTTTTTTTTGGAAACTTAGAAGTCGTATATACGACGATGTTAAAATGCTGTCAATGTAATTGTAGTAAGCGAAACGTAATGGTTCGGCAACTCCTTTAAATGGTAGAAGGCACTGATTTGACAAAGATGGATAGATTGCAGGTGTAACAAAATACGGAGATGTCACACTCATGCACGCGAACAAAAATAGTCTGATTAAATAATCCAACAAACATTCCCATATAAGACACTTAATGCGAGAGATAAAATTTTAAACAATATATAAGAAATATATTTTTTTCCATGAAAAATTCACACATTCTTTTGAAAGGAAGGCTGAGAAAAAAAAATTGTTTTTTCTTTCCATTCAAATATTGAAAAACTTTTTTGTTGCGAAATTAATAATTTCTATTACTATTATATTGTATAATATAATTATTTATTAATAAATTATTTATTATACATAATATTTATTTAATTTTTCTTTTTTAATATATATATATTTTAATTTGAAACTAATAAACATTTTCAAATAAAACAATGTAGTGTATGTAATGAAAAGGTTATATCTATAAATGCATAAACAGGATAATCAATTTCATTATAGAGATGCGAATATGATATTCGTACTATTATTATTTCCTTTAATACTGAAAATCCTTTAATTGCTATTTGAAAATCAGTTTAATTGCAAAGCGATGAGTATATTTTCTGTGTCGATTCAGTTTATTATTGTATACATATATGAGAGAGGTGAAATTCCATTATAAAGTGAAATGCAGATTTCATATAATAAATGCATGTACAGAATTTAAAAAAAAAAAAAAAAAAAAAAAAAGAAATAACATTGATTTATCAAAGTAGATAAATACACGTAATATATACGCGATAGCCAGAACATTTTTATTTATAAACAAAATTGACAGATAAATATATTTATATTCATATAATCTTTGCGTCGTAAATATAATTATTGAAAAATAATTATTATTCAGAGCAAAAGAAACATTTTTTTTTTTTTATGAATGAATCCGCAAATTATTATTTAAGTATAAATAAAAAATAATATTTATTAAAGATTTAATTTTTACTTTCAGTAATCGTATAGATTCATTTTTTCACTTGCTTTTATAATTTATTATTACTGACATCACCTTTTTTTTTATTGATGTAAAATTGAATAATTTTTTTTTTTCAAATTTCGAATTCTTAAAAAATTATTTATTCTGTAAAGTTCCATTATATGTTTCATTTACATATATATATATACGAGATTCTAATAAAATTAGTATATGAGAAAAAATTTGCTGATTAAAACATTTAATTTTTCATTCAATTATATATGTATTGCAAAACAGCTATCAATTTATTTGAACTATAAAATTTTGATGAGTAATTATTAATATTATTAAATTATGTAATAATGCTTTTCTTTTCTAATACAATCATTGCCACTGAAAGTAAAATAGAAAAACGGAAATAAAATCACTTCTTTCTGACCAATTTTTAATATTTTAATTTTATATAAGTTTTTTTTTTTAATAAACACAAAATATACTTTTTAAAGACGGTACTGCAAATTAAAAATTAATTGTATCATGCTGTTGCACACGCAATGCAATAACATATTGATTCGTCATTTTTAAAAATATCCTCAACAATATGCAATTACACTATACATTAAATTGATTATATATATTGTCATAATTATTATAGTATTTTCAAGAAATAGTGATACCGATAAACAATGTTATTTATTTTTCTTTGTTATTTGATTTTTTTTGGTTAATAATTAAAATACATATTAATATCGATAATAACAATTCTAAATATTGTTTTAAATTAACTGATTCTCTAAAATTAGGTAAAAAATTTATAACACAATGAGATAAAAAAATGATACAAAAAAAACCAATTTTTTTCATAAAAGAACCAAATTTTTGACTTATTTTATTCATTTTATTTATATTATGACGTCATAAATTAGGTACTAATATTTATTTTTACCAAATTATAAAAAATTGAAATAATTTCGCTGCAATGCCTTATTAAAAAGTTTTATTGAAAAAACATGAATACCTTTAGATGTGTCGTGTTTCCTGCAAGAATTATGACTTTTCTTTCTTTTATTCTTTTTACAAACTCTAATGCCGTGTAATTTTATGGTTTGAAATATCAATATATGTATGTATAGGTAATATAGTGTATTTCATTTTATAGATTAATGAAAAAAAAAAAAAAAAGGTAATCATTCTCTCTTGGTCGAATAGAAATTCTCCTCATGTAGTATATTCAATAGCATTAACTTTGGGGCTATATAGGTATAGGTCTCTAAACAAAATTTTCTCTTTTTCTAGGGTCATAAAACTCTCTTCCCTTGTTATACACTACTCATCCTTATATGGATAGACGTTGTATGTTTGCGGAACAAAGAAGAGTATATAGTGCTTTCTTTAACTGTAACATTGTTGTTCTCGCACACATGGT